CTTGGAAACCATAACACCAGGAAGTTTTAGTCCAGGCTTACCCGCCCAATGAGCAACCATATTCTTCTCTCGTTTGATATGAGACCAACAGATAACCAAGCTTTTAGACAATTCAATAATCCTTTTCATTTGAAGGTTAACACTCCAATGATGATCCTCTTTCAATCTGCAATACCTCCATAATATCAAAGAATCAATTTAAAAAATAATATATTTCCATCCACATTTAAGAGCCACGTGAAGAACCAAACACTATAGCATCAACCTTAGCAATCAAAGGGGAGACAGGAAAAGCACCAGCCGGAACCAGCATATAAAAGAACCCAGGAAGTCTCTGCAAACTCCACAAACTCTAGCACAAGTACTTTTCCAACATCCGTCTATATTTATTTTGATGAAGGGTGTACAAGGTTTACTCCAAGACACCAAAGAAAATACTTTAAGTTGGACATTAACAAGTAAAGCTAATTTTTGCATCATAACCATCATTTTACCATTCTTCTTCATAGTAGGAGACAACAAATGAAGCCCTTTTAACAGATAGGAAAAAATCAAACTAACGGTATGATGTACATTAGCAGACACATTATTAAATTTAGCATTATTCTTAGTAATCCAAATGAACCAAATAGTAATAGCGGATACAACAGTGAAGAAAGCATGACCATTAGCTATCCATTTAGTAAAATTTTCAGAAATATTAGTAACCTGCAACAAAGTATTCGACAAATGCAATTTCATAATAACCTTTCTCCAGATTTCATCAGCAAAATTGCAATCTACAAAAAGATGATCACTGGTTTCCTCATTGTTCCTGCAAAGCATATAGCAAGAAAGAAGCCACAGTCCTTTAAATTTAAACTAAATCATGAATAGGAATGATACTATGAAAAATTCTCAAAATATAGAAAGAAATTGAAGGCTTGACTCAAGGGTTCCAGTTCCATCTAAGATCCAACCCTTGAAAGGATTTAGCAAAGCATTTAGAAACATAATCCCCAATATTGCCTTTAATCATGGGCACATCAATCTTGTTACTGCTAATAGGAATCGATGCAATGAATTTTGCATCAGTAGAGTGAACCTTCTGTTGAAGCTCTCTGAAACACCATCTATTATCAAACCAGAAATCATTTACTTTGATATCAATGTTGGCAGGACCACCATACCAGTCAACTAATGCACCCTTATCGGTCCAGTCATCATACCAAAAGGAGCAGCCCCCTTTGCCAATGTCCCAACAAATTAAATCTTCAGTGTTTCTAGCCACTTTTAACATCTCATTTCAAATAAAAGAATCATTCTTTTTAATAGTAATAACTAGAGGATGTTTATTAGAACAATATTTGGTGTGCATAAAAGAAGCCCAAATGAAATTATTCATGTTGAATTTATACCATAGTTTCATGTAATTAATCTTAATAGAATCAGATAAGCTCCTAAAGCCCAGACGACCTTTGTCAATGGGTTTACAAAGCTTATTCCAACTTCTCCAATGAACATTAGAATTACCTTTGCCTTCCCGAAGGAATTTATTAAAAAGATTTTCCAATTTTTTAATAAACCCCATAAGCATGTTCATCACTTGTAATGAATAAAGAGGGAGAGAAAGAATCACTCTTAAGAAGAGTGATATGCCCCCCAAAAGAAAGAAATTTATTCTCTCAAGATAAAATCCTATTCCTGATTTTGTCAAACAAATTCAAACAAAGAGCATTACGATTTCATCACTTATCCAACGTGAAACCAAAATAATTCAAAGGTAACAGAGCCTTATTACAACCAGTAAATTCCATAATCCAATCTTTCTTAGCAACCGTAACTTTATTAGAACAGTAGGGAAAACACTTAGAAGTATTAAAATTCAAACCAGAAATAGTTTGAAATTTAATTTTCTCATCCCAAACTCTCTTTATGGAAACTTTATTAGCATTAGTAAAAATGATCAGATCATTAGCAAAGCATAAATGTGAAATACTCAAATGACCCTTTTTCTTATAATTCACAGAAGGATAAGAAAGAAATAAGCTATTCAATCTTTTGGATAAGTAGTCGAAAACAATAATGAAAAGATAAGGGAATAGAGGATCATGCTGTTTTATTCATTTATAAGCTTTTAAGAAACCATACTTATTGCCATTGATAAGAAGAGAATAATAATTGTCACTGAGTATTCAATAAATGAGCTTGCAAAAAGTATCATTAAACCCAATAGCACGAAGAATGTCTATAATGAAATCCCAACTAATATTGTCAAATGCTTTCTTGATGTCCATTTTATAGTGTCAAATGCGTAAATATTACTAATTTATTTGTGTACATAAACTGAAAAATAATATTGATTTTGATGTATCATAATTGTACAATTTTAGATAGTGCTTCTATAACGAATTCAAATGATATTGATACGATAATGTATTGTGTTATATGATAGAATATTTTGAAATTTTCTGAATGGTCATAATTAAATAATAATCTATCAATTATATTTATTATGATTCATTACTTTTGACTAACACGTATGTTATTTTTTTCTTTTATATGAGTATTCATTGATTTATTAATAGGTCATTTTATTTTTAGTTTATATTTTTGAGTTTAAAGTTTGAGCTAGAAAATAAGTGATATAACATGTAGATCGAAGAAATTGCTAATATAGAGAGAGACAAGTTTTTTAAAATTTTTTTATGTTAAATTAAAATAGTTTACTTTTGTTTTATTCAGATGATTATTAGTTTAAGATAAAAAT